AAAAAAAAAAAAAAAAAAAAAAAAAAAAAAAACACATCTTAGTAAAACCAATACCTTCTCAGCTTCGCATCGAAGCTAAAATGATTCAATAAATTTAACTATTGATGTTTTTTTTTTTAAATTAATAAAATTTTATTTATTAATAAAAATTAATAATAAAAATGTTGACTTTGGACTTAACAATGTATACAAATTTTCCAGTTCATGCTATACAAAAATTAATTACCATTGTCAATGTTTTCCTCGTGCTCAGCTATTAAATCAGTCAATTTAATCATATTTCGAGCATTGTCAATTGTTATAGAATATATTTGGTTTTTATTTAATCCATATTTATTGAGGACATCAAATACCTATGATCGTATAAAATCTTTTTTTAGAAAATATATATCATTTATATTAATGGTCAATACCATTAACTTAAGATTTTCTGCTGTATGACCACCTAATACTTCAGAAATACTTAATGTTTTTATTTGCAACTGCATTGAATCACAAGACATGTATTGAACATTAATGCCCAGAAAAGATCGGCTATGCCGTGAAACACCATCAATTTTTAATGATACCATACACGGTTTTTGATATCTTTAGTAATATCAGACACTATATTGTTACTTAAGTGTGTAATATTTCCTTTAATATATTGAGAATTAATGGCAATCTCTAGTAAACAAATAAAATAAAATATATGTATTTATTTATAGAGTAAAAATCCTGTAAAACATACGATTTTTAGGGAAATACTCGTTTATTCTAGGTAAATGCAGTATGTACAGTTCAAATATTATCGAGCGCAAAATTTTTTTTTTTCATAGTGTAGCTAATGACTTTCTCTACAAGCCACATGTATGGATTAACGTGTAATTTTTAGTTAATCTCTTTAAACGAGAAAACTAGAGAAAAAAACGAAAAAATTTGATTTTTTTTAAAGTATAAATTTGTTAAATTCCACAAAAATTAAAAAAAACTTTTTTTTTCTTTTTCATTTGAAATTATTACAAGGGTAATTCGTTTTAATTTCTTTAAAAAAAAATTATTGCTATTGACTTTTCTTAAAATAGAGTTCATCCTTTTGCATTTTAATCAATTTATTTAGCATATGTTAATCATTAGGTTGATTTGTATTTCTTTATTGGTGTGCAATATGTAGTAATGTGCAACATACAAATATGTACTTTTTTTTTAATTAATTTTTTGTTTGCAAATACTACATTTATAATTGTGATNTTTGTTTGCAAATACTATATTTATAATTGTGACTTCCTTTATGATTTAAGATGAACTCTATCTTAAAATAGAGTTCATCTTTATACGTTTTAATCGATTTACTTTGCATATTTTAATCATTAGTTTGATTTGTATATCATTTATATTATTTTAACACAGCAATTATAATAAAAATATTGTAGATTATATAATATATTATGGTAATGGCTGTATTAAATTTTAATTTGTTTTTGTAATTTTTAGACTGTGCTACCCCATTGTGGTTCCAGGATAAAGACTGAGCTAGATATTCATGGCAGTCATCGTTATTGGATTTATTGCACCGGTAATTAATTTTCATTTGTTAAAAAAAATTTATTACTATTGACTTTTCTTAAAATAGAGTTCATCCTTTTGCATTTTAATCAATTTATTTAGCATATGTTAATCATTAGGTCGATTTGTATTTCTTTATTGGTGTGCAATATGTAGTAATATGCAACATACAAATATGTACTTTTTTTTTAATTAATTTTTTGTTTGCAAATACTATATTTATAATTGTGACTTCCTTTATGATTTAAGATGAACTCTATTTTAAAATAGAGTTCATCTTTATACGTTTTAATCGATTTACTTTGCATATTTTAATCATTAGTTTGATTTGTGTTTCATTTATTGGTGTGCAATATGTACTACTACATCAGTCTATACAATACAATATATATATATATATATATATACATTTTTTATTACTATTATTTTTTCACAGCAATTACAATAAAAATATTGTAGATTATATAATATATTATGGTAATGGCTGTATTAAATTTTAATTTGTTTTTGTAATTTTTAGACTGTGCTACCCCATTGTGGTTCCAGGATAACGACTGAGCTAGAGATTCATGGCAGTCATCGTTATTGGATTTATTGCACCGGTAATTCATTTTCATTTGTTAAAAGAAATTTAGTTCTATTGACTTTTTTTAAAATAGAGTTCATCTTTTTACATTTTAATCAATTCATTTAGCATATGTTAATCATTAGGTCGATTTGTATTTCATTCATTGGTGCAATTCGTGCTACATCGGTCTATATAATCTCTTCCTCTATATATATCTCTCTCTCTCCATATGTATATATATACATTTTTTTTTTAAATTTTTGTTTGCAAGTACTACATTTATATATTTGTCATACTCTTTTTGATTTTTTTTCTTATTCTAATGTGTTATTGACAATTTCATAACAATTGCAATAATAATATTGTAGTAATATTATTATTATTATTATATTATGGTAATGGCTATATTAATTTAATTTGTTTTTGTAATTTTTAGACGGTATCTGTTGTGCCACTATAACTAAGCTAGAGATTGATGGCAGTCATCGCTATTAAATTTATTACAAAGGTAATTCATTTTCATTTGTTAAAAAAAATTTAATGCTATTGGCTTTTCTTAAAATAGAGTTCATCCTTTTGCATTTTAATCCATTTCTTTAGCATACGTTAATCATTATGTGGATTTGTATTTCTTTATTGGTGCAATTTGTGCTACATCGGTCTATATATTCTCTCTCTCTATTTAAATATATTTTTTTTATTATATTTGTGAATACCATTAAGATTATTTCTTATTGAAATGTTTTTTTAACAATTTCATAGCAATTGTAGTAATAATATATTGTAGTTCTATTATGGTGATGGCTTCTATTATGGTTTTAGATTTATTGCACGGGTAATTCTTTTGTCAAAAAAAAATTTATTTTTATTTACTTTTCTCAGAGTAGAGTTCATCTTTTTACATTTAAATTAATTTTCTTGGCATATGTTGATTTGTATTTTGTTTATTGTTGCAATGTGTGCTACATCAGTCTATACTATATTTTCTCTCTCTCTCTTTATATATATATATATATATATATGTGGGTACTATTGGTATCTAGATGGCACCACTTCCAGGGTCTGGAGATAGATAGTGGTATCAAGTACATAGAGGGAGATTAAGTCAAGTCGTGAGTCGGCTAAGACGTGTCTCTATGTATATTCTTTAGTTTATAAGTGTATTCTGTTTTATATAATATTTTTGTGTTGTGTGAATATTTTATATAGAGTTTTCGTGTGTAATTAAATATATGTGTTATTTTTGTTTGTTAACATTTAATAGAGTTTTTGTGTATTAATTTATAAATATATAAATTAAATAATAGTATTGCGTCTTCGCTCTGTTCCTGTAATTGCCTGTTTGCATTTTCCCACATATATACATGTATTGATTTTTTTTTAAATGAATATTTCTTATTGAAATGTTTTATTGACAATTTCGCAGCATTTGTAATAATAATATTGTATATATATAATTATTATTACGGTAAAGGCAGTATTGATTAATTTGATTTTGTAATATTTAGGAGTTTGGTGTATCCTGAAGAATGCTTCAATAATGGATCGGCCTGTTGGCCAAAAGTGGTGGTTCTAATGGATAACGGATTTATTACGCGGGTAATTCATTTTCATTTGTTAATTAAAATTAGTCAGTCAGTGTTTTATCTATTGGTGACTACACCATGTGTTGTATATTGAACTAAATTAATCATACATTTTTAATTTTTGTTGTCATGTTTATTTATTCACACTCATGAACGTCTTTGTGGTGTTCTCGAGTATCTCAAAATAGAGTTCTTCTTTATACATTTTAATCGATTTACTTTGCATATTTTAATCATTAGTTCGATTTATATTTCATTTATTGCTGCAATATGTTTTTCATCAGTTTATACAATACATATATATATTTACATTTATATACTTTTTTTTTTTTTTTTTAATCAGTTTTTTGTTTGCGTGTACTACGTTTATATTTGTGGTATCCTCTATGATTATTTGTTATTGAAAGTCCCCCGATTGACGATTTCACAGCTATTGCAATAATTATGTTATAATTTTAAAATCGTTTACATGATCATGGTAATGACAGTATTGATTAATATATGATTTTGTAATTTTCAGATCCTGGGAACTGCTTCGATATTGGCTCGGCCTGCCAATCAGATGATTCTCTTTTGGAGCTCATCGAAAACGCCAGTAGACTTCTATCAACCGTACTTCGATATTATCTTTTTTAGTAGACCATTTCGATGTCACTCCCCCTCAGTAGTAACAATTAACATGTATTTTTATTGTTCCCTGCGTGGAAAATTACATTGAAATTTTTTAACGCTCATTATTTCAGTATGGAAAAACACATTAAAATCGAAGTCGATAATTTAAAATATTTTTAATGTCAAATAATTAACTCACAAATGCATCATTGATCAAACTATTAAATTAAAAAATATTTACGCTTGATTTCGAGTCTTTGATTTCTCTAGAGTAAATACCATTGCCGTACAACACTGAGGTATTTTATCAATCCCCAATCCGAAAAGATTTTGTTTACATCGAGTTTGTAATGTTAACAACGAAAACATTTAACAGCGAGACAAATAATATCTCGCCTGTAAATATATTTTTTTCTCTCATATATGTCAACCGTGATTTTCTTTTTGTTGTGTTCTACATTTCTACAATGATTTCTGCACTTGCCATAAGCATATATAAATATATATATATATATATATCGTTTTGTATTTTTATATATATTTTCTTTGAACTATTTTTTTTTTTTTAATTGCTCCGAGCAATTATTCCATACCATTACGTGTGCTTATTCATGCAATCAAAATAAATTAATAATAATCATGAATATCAATTTTTTACCACATTATTTAACTATTTAGACTAATCATTTCACCTAAGGTACACACACACACGTTAGGATTATCTCATTCGATATTTCGCTTACAGTTTATTTTCGCGTATTCGATATATTCTATATAATTTTTTTTTTTTTTTTCAACTTACAAATAAAATTCATCTTATGTAATATAGTCGAGCGAAAGTCGTGTGCTGTACATGTCGACCTGTTCCTTTATCATACGGTTTAAACGGACTCTAACCATTTTTGATTTATCTTATTTTAAAGAAGGACCCATTTAACTGTTAACCATTGTAATATGTTGCATAATTATTGTATAATCTTTTGTGAAACTTTTTTTTCTAATTATACCGTTATTCAATTGACATTTTACTACCCCCATTCACAATCGTCGAACACTGTAATTATTATTCTATATGATAACATGAAAATAAATCAACAACACGTTTTTAATTGTACGTTTATTTTAATTTCATATATATTATTAATCACAAATATAATAATTGTTTAATTCGATTCTGAAACAAAAAAAAAACACGCATATCGTTATGCATCTATTGTAACAATATGAGATAAATAAATGCAAGAGGCAGAACGCAGCACTAAGAATTAATAATAAACTCTCGCGTACTCTACTTAATCAGCTATTATTGGTTTACCGTAAATAAATATCCTTAGCTTTGAACGAAAAATTTATTCCATATTATTTTATTAAACAATTTGATTTTTTGAAAAATCAATCTTTATCAGTTCTGCCTCTATTGTACGTGTGTATTTCATACCTTGACCCGGTAGACCACCCGATCCGCCGCCGCAGTCCTCGGTGCAGGAGGAGGAGGCCGCCGTTGTGGTTTTTTGCAAAAGCAACCTCAAACGCTCGACCTCCTCCTCCGCATTGCGGCGAGCCCGTCGCTCCGTTTCTATCGTTGGAGGTGTTGGTTGTGGTGGTGGTGGAGGTGGAGGTGGTGGTACTGTTTTGCGTTCTAAAAAAAAAAAAAAACCGTTTTTTTAACACACAGATATAAGTCGTAGTTTTATGTATAACTACTCGGGCATTCCCGATTCAAGTGGCCACCACTCTTGCACCTCCAGCACGCTGCGAAAACGAATATCATCCGTCATCAATACGATATGGGTGCATGATTAATTAAAAAGTATAAATTAATAAGCGCACTTACTTTTTGGACCCTTGCGCTTCTTTTTATTAACTTTGTTTTTTTTTGAATTGTGCGCCGTCGTGGTGCCGCCGCTTACATTCACAATATTGCACTTTATGAAAACTTGTTTCATTTTATTTTATTCTCTATACCGTTAACTGTGATATAACGCTAACAGATTTTTCAGTCCGGGAATTCTTTGCCACTCCCAAGTCGGACTTTGGACTCCGTCGCTTTATAATCTCCGAGAGTCGTCAGCGTTTAAACCGAGTTCAATCAGATCCCGCCGCCGATTTTTGTGACGCGATCGAATAGGGCTATTCACTTATTTAGCCGAACCCTAAGACGCTCGCCACCATCCGAGGTCCGCGTTCGCTTTTACAGAAAAGATGTTTTTCGTAAAACGTCAATGCCCCTAACCACGCCGAATCAATTATTTTTACGCGCGACGCGAAATCCGCGGTAACACGGCCGCTGCAGTTTTTCGTCACACGCGCGAGTTGAACTTTGAACCGCGCGACTTTCTATCGTCCGTGTCTCTGACCACGACCCGGTTTCGGTCGTCCTACCGATATTACTTGCATCGTCGCGTTATCATTTCACAAATCCGAAATTTATAATCAATCGAAAAGCCAAATTTTCATTTTTATGTATACACTTATGCGTATTGACTACACAAAAAAAGGATTTTTCGTATTTTTGTTTTTCCCTACGCTACTAATATACATATATATACAGTGATAACTCATATATATATATATATATATATATATATATATATTCTAAAGACTAATTTAATAATTTAAAATGGTACACGCGTGTTACTTGTGCAGCGCAATTGTGGCCGACGGCGTCAGTCTACACAAGTACGTACTCATAACCTAAACGAATTGAAAACCCGCGACTTTTGTATCGACGGCTTATTTCCGTTGTTCGTACGTGTGCGTTTACACGCGGATGACACTCTTATTAAAATTATACGTTCACAGATTTCCCAGCGATGTCGAAAGGGCCCAGAGGTGGTTGGCGTTCGTAGCGACGTGCGGTTACGATCCGGCGGCCGTAAACTTGCGGAGCGCTTTCATTTGTTCCAGGCACTTTGACCCTGTCAACGATTACCGTACCAACCCAATCCGCAGGTTACTCATTAGCACTGCTGTGCCCACCGTAAGCCGCTACATATATATTTCGTTGTTCCGGATTCGATTATCTTATTTCATGATTATGTTCAGGTGATTGTCGCCAATCCCGAAGCAGCTGGACCCTCTCAGTCGGACGTAAAACAGTTCCATTCAGTCTATATTTTAATAATTGCGTTCGCGGGATCTGATGGTTTTTATGATTGTTTCAAACGCGTAATCCCTAACCGAATCGATTCGTGGGGGGATGGTCAATATTGATATGTTCACGGGGTTTGGCCGGTCTCCAATTTATTTACAACCATCAGATTCCGTATCCGCGTGTTGTCCAATCGCAATTGTTAAGATGTGTAATAAATACATTTAGGTTGAAATCGTCGGCATCGCCGTTGGTGACGACGAGGCGGCGGTTGGCGATATAAACGATATGGTACGAAATTGTTTTTTTTTTTTATTTTATCATGTAGTACATTTAATATACAACTTTTTGAATACTTATAATACGTTCGAAGGTCGAAGTCGTCGAAGCCGAAGCGTCAC